GGCTCGAACTCACGGACCGCGAGATCGTGACCTGGCTGAAGTCGGACGCTTGACCGACTGCGCCACCCAGGCGCCCCAAAGATAAATGGATTTTAACAGATCAGGTCCCCTCCTATCCCGAGAAGTGTCACAAAACAGAGTGGCAGCTCTTGGAGCCTGGTGGGGACTTTGTGTAGACACCCGCCGAGGGAGGGGCCCAGGCGGGGCCCAGCGAGGGAAGCGGCCTCGTGGGGCTGGAACACACGGACCAGGGGAGGCCGTGTGGGAGAGGATGGCTGCCGCGAGTCGGCCTGGGAGAACTGGGGTGTCCCCCACCTGCAGAGGGGGTAGCACCGGCAGGTGATGTGTTGGGGCAGATGCTGTGGTTAGGTTCACACTGCGCAAAGCTGGCCTGAGCTTCAGGGGGGCACTTGGGGACCATGTCCGGATGCCTCGGGGCCTGAGGAGAGAGGGCAGACTCCCGGCCGAGCACCTGGCTGGGCCTCCTAGCCAAGCAGCTGAGGTGGGGGCCCGGTGGCCCCAGAGACGCTCAAGGAGCACAGAGCCAGGGGCCGTGTGGGTGGCGCCATCTGGCTGAAGACCAGGGGCCACAGGGATGGCCATTGGTGGCCGTTTACAGAATGCAGATGCCCGCCCTTACTGAGCGCGCGCAGTTTGCCGGTCTTGTTCCGAGGCGCATGTGCCCGTTTCCCAGATGGGGAAGCTGAGACAGAGGCCCAGCGAGGCGCCCGTGGTTGCGGGAGCGGGGGACCCCGGCAGCACTCCCTTCTCCAGATCCTTTCCCCTGCGGGTCTCATGTGTTTTCGGGCTTGTCTCCACAGCGGCGGCTCCCCCAGAGCTCGGGTCCTGAAGGGCGTGATGCGGGTCGGCCTCCTGGCGAAAGGCCTCCTCCTGCGGGGGGACAGGACGGTGCAGCTGACCCTGCTCTGCTCGCAGAAGCCCACCCACACCTTGCTGCGGAGAATCTCGGAGCAGCTGCCCCTGCAGCTCCCGGTAAGAGCCCGGACTCTGTGCGTGGCGGGCACTTGGGCTCCCGGCTGGGGCGGCTGTGTTTCCGCGCGAGTCTGCTAGACGCGGACCGGGTTGTTTTTGTACAAAGGTTGACAAGAGGAGGAACTTCGGGGCTCCTTTATAAAACGAGTTTAGGGTCAGACTCAGGATGTCCGTGTCCTGTCACTGAGGGTGCCGACTTACCAGCCACCCCAGGGGCAGTTGGTGCCAAGGACTGCACAGGACCCTCCCCCTTCACAGGGGAGACGAGAGGGGACCGCGGCGGGTGGCCTGGGCTCCTCCCCTGGACTGTCTGGGACTTTCTGACCCGAAACAGCGACTGGGGAAGGGCTGAGAGCACGTCATGATTTAAATGGGTCTCAGGTTAAAAAAATCAGTTCCCGGGGTGGAGGAGGCTCTCCTTCCTGGTGTGTCTGTCTCTGTTCCCGGGAGAATCCAGCACCGGGGGTCGCGCAGACCCAGATTCGCCCTCTGGGGTCCCCACTCTGGTCAGGAGGTGAACGAACATGCACCAGAGCAAGCTAGCTTCCAATGTGTTGTCTGTGAAGAAATGAAAGTCTGATGCCAAGGAGGGAGCACTGGCAGGGAGGGGGCACGTCAGGATGGTGGGAGGTGTGTGTCCCGTCAGGATGGAGCTAGAGACGAAGGGGGGGGGCTTGAAAGATGGAGGGCAGGATTGCTGGTCAAAGGCTTGAGGCCAGATGCTTCTGGTAGATGTTGCCAGGTCAGCCTCCAGCAGTTTATACAGAGGTTTGCCAGCCCAGCTGCCCCTCGACTTCTTGAGGTTCGTCCTCAGAGGCGATGCTGGTGCCTCGTTATAGTTTTAATTTGCTTCTTTCTTAGCGTGGGGGTAATCTGTGTCATCACGTAAAAAGGGTCTTCCCTGTTTCTTTTCTGCAAACCACCTGTTTTGTCGCTCGCAGGTTTTGTGGGGTTTTCTCATTGGATCGCTGGTTTTGTTGTTGTTGAGCGGCGGGCGTTCTTTACATGTGAAGGCACCTACGTGCAGGGTGTTTTCTGTACGCGTCTCTACGCGTGTGCGCTCCTAGAGGGTGGGGGTGTATCTCAGTCCTCCGGAGGTTACAGGCGCCCAGCACAGGGCCTGGCGCTCGACCGCATTCTTGCTCATTTACACCTGCTTCTCAGCTGCACTGACCTGGACTCATGTCACACTTGCACCCCACAGATGGTGACAGAAGACGAGTATGAGGTCTCCTCTGACCCCGAAGCCAACATCATCATCTCCTCCTGCGAGGAGCCCAGGATGAGGGTCGCTGTGTCTGTCACCTCGCCCCTGATGCGGGAGGACCCTTCCACGGACCAAGGTGTGGCCAGGCCCTTCCGTCCAGCCCCACTCCCCACGCTCCCTGGTGACCGGGGGCCGCATCTGCCTCTGCTCTGGGTGGGAAGGGGGTCACAGCCACCAGCCTTCTGGCACTTCTGTCAGCCCTGGATGCTGCTGGCAGGTAAGAACTGGGCCTTGGGGCAGCAGAGGAAGCAAGGTGGCGACAGTCACACGAGCTCCAGAGCGCTGTCCTCCTCTTCCCTTTGCCTCTGGGCCTGCACAGACACCTGCTCCCCACCCCAGGGAGATCAGCTGTGCTGGGTCCCCGGGAGCTCAGCTGATTCTGTGTAGCAGGGGCCACAGGCAACCCCATGGGTCCCAAGGCCTCTCCTGTGAGACATGGGGGCTCTAGGGCTTCAGGCCGCTTGGCCGAGAGAGTGGGAAGGGCACTGGGCCAGGCCAGGGGCCAGCAGGGGCCTCAAGTCACTGCTGCAGTGAAGGCCAGCTGCCAGGAACACACCGTGGATCTCACGGAGCCCTGGAACCTCGTGGAGCAGCCCCCAGAACTGTTTTCCAAACTCCAGTCATTCTTGAACCCCCTTCATGATTGTTTTGTCACAGCAGAGGGCCACGAACTTCTAACGTTCTTCTTTAAACACTTTTTTTAATGTTCGTTTATCTTTGAGAGAGAGAGAGACAGAGCATGAGTAGAAGAGGGGCAGAGAGAGAGACACACACAGAATCCAAAGCAGGCTCCAGGCTCTGAGCTGTCAGCAGATGGCTCGATGCGGGACTCGAACCCATGAACCGTGAGATCATGACCTGAGCTGAAGTCAGACCCTTAACCGACTGAGCCACCCGGGCGCCCCTAACGTGCTTCTTTAAATCAGTTCATTTTTATCGCTTAAATTTTGGGGGAGCAGAACCCTGAACCATTGGCGGGAACCATCACCAGTCGTCATGGTCACGTAAGAAATAACCACAGCGGGATGAGACATCGTGAAATCCTAGCTGCAGGCCCCGCTAGGGTTTGCTCAAACACACGAACAAGGGCAGCCTGGGAGCGTCAGGCAGTGTGAGCGATCCGAGGCTCCTAGACGGGTGGGCAGGAGGGCGCCCCTCTGTGTCCCCCACAAGAGTGTCGGGCCCCGGGCTGACTGTCACCAGAGGGCGACACCGGGGACGAAATGCCCTCCTCCCAGACCCACCCCGGACAGTTCCATCTCAGCCTGAAGCAGTGGCTGGGCTGTGACCCACCCGTGGGGACACCGATGCGTGAGTGAAGCTGTGTCCCGTCGCCTGACCTCTGTGACCCGGGGCCTCCCGGAGCGAGGGGCGGAGAGCGTGAAGCAGTGGAAAGGCCGCAGGAAAAGGCCCCAGAGTTTCTCCCAGATGCGGGGCCTTTGCCCTCGAGGACGGCACCTGTTCCCGTCCAGCGTGCTCTCTCCCTTGCTGTGATGCACATGGAAGCGTCTGGAAATCTGGCTTAGTTCATAGTTTTCCATCTGAACTGTGATTTGCTAACCAAGGGCGTCAGCACTGACGGTGCTCGGTAACCAGCATTGCGCTCTGTCCTCGTGGGACCTCTCCCGCAGAGGGAGAGCATTTCCACAGAAATGACTTCTCTGGTCCTTGCGTGGCCTGGAGGAGAGATGGTCTGGAGCCCGGTGCCTTCCAGATAACAGGATGATGCCCAGGAGGGGCCGGGCCGCGTGGCCCAGGGAGGCGAGGGGGGTGGTGAGGGGTGCCGTGCCCACATGGCCCTTTCCTTCTAGAAGGAAGGCAGGTGCCTCATCCTGACCCAGAAGACATCCTGAGCCCAGAGAAGTGCCTTCAGTCCCTGGCCGCCCTCCGCCACGCCAAGTGGTTTCAGGTCAGGGGGCCGGAGGGGGCCTCCGTCTGTGTCCCGGCGCTCGGAGAGCGGGCTCTGAATGCAGCTGTGGGAGACAGCCGTCTGCATGGCTACCCACGTCTCCTTGCCAAGCACTGACCCGACAAGACCCTTGTCAGAAACATAAAGGGAGTGACCCGGACTGCTCTGGGGGATGGCGGGTACCGGAGGCTCCGAATTGGGCCGGATCAGCGGGTCTGTGCCACACCCAGAGTCCCTCCCGGCCAGGCTCACTCCCCAAGGGTCAGCCCTTGTCCCCGAGGCCACGAGCCCGTGGCTTCCTGAGCTAATGGTGTACTTCTTCCCCCCCCAGGCTCGAGCCAGTGGCCTACAGCCGTGCGTGATTGTCATCAGGGTCCTTCGTGACCTCTGCCAGCACGTGCCCACCTGGGGGGCCCTGCCGGCCTGGGTAAGCAGCACCCCGTGGCTGGCCCTGCCCTGGGGAGCCCCCCAAGGGCCTCCAACAGCCTTGACAGGCCTCATTTTCTCTGAGACAGAGGTTCCCCTTCCCAGTGTTGGGCTTTCCGAAAAGGGGCCCAACTGAGTAGCCAGGAAGGGTGGGTGGGGAGGGGGCGGCCTAGGGGTCTGTCGGGGCCAGGAGGAGGCCTGCTGCGGAGCACAGCCTCATGAGCCTGCCGTTACCTTGAACCGGCAACCTCACGGGCAGAACCAGAGAGCACGTGAGGCAAGGGTGCCCAGGACTGGCCTCGGGGCCGCCTGGTGCGTGCCCTCCCTCTTCCGAAGGGGAGACCCCCCCATGGCTCTGACAGCCCCTGGCAGTCAGTCCTGGGGCCCGTCAGGGGAGAGGAGAGAAGACAGAGGCAAGGGCACCTGTGCCCCCAAACCCCAGGTTGCCGTGCTGTGTCCGTGCACCTGTCGGCACGTCTGAGTCTGTCCATCTCATTTACTTTGGGGGACGGACGTTTGCTTTCCGCGTGCATTTCTGCTGCCAGCATCTCTCCCCCGCCAAAGCCGTGCTCTTGCGCAAGTAGACCCTTCCCACCCTGGCCTTGCCATCCTTGGCCTCACTCACCCGCGAGGACCGTCTCCCAGACCAAGGGCTCTCTCTGCCCAGTGTCCAGAGGAGGCAGGCGCTGCTCTCAGCACCACTCCTTCTGGGACACGTGGGTCCATTTGGGCGCCGAGAGGGCCCCGCATTCCCCAGGAGCCCGTTTCCCTGTAAATCTAGAAGCACCCCCCCCAAGAGAATACACTTGTCCTGATCCCGCCCCCAAGACCCCCCCCCACTGCTCCCCACAGGGAGGGGGGCTCCCTGGGGAGGGGAGCATGCCAGAGCAGGCCAACGGGTCATCTGACCCTGACTAAATGCACGAGGGTCACAGAGAGCAGTTCTTCAACCCTCTTGACCCTGGTTTGCAGTGTTACTGTGCACAGGCTTTGCCGATGGAGAATCGGGATGCGGAGAAGGCGCAGAAACCTGCCGGCAGCCACACCCTGGGGAGGCAGAGACGAGGCCCCAGGGACCACCCTCCTCCTCAGAAGTCAAGGATGGGTGGGGGTGAGGGACAGTGCTGCTAGGGGCCTCCGTCCCAGGGTCTGCTGGAGACCCCGTGCATCGCGGCTGTCGCCTGGGGGAGAGTCCAGCTGGCCCAAGTGCTCTCCTCTGAGGCACGGCGTCGTCTTTTCTGTCCCCGCGGGGCCCAGGCCATGGAGCTGCTGGTGGAGAAGGCCCTGAGCAGCACGAAGGGGCCCCTGAGTCCCGGGGAAGGCCTGAGGCGTGTCCTGGAGTGCGTAGCCTCGGGGATGCTCCTGGCAGGTCAGTCCCGCAGGCCGGGGAGCCCAGAACAGTAGAGCAGGTGTGGCGGGCACAGAACGAGCCACTTGCAAGCCCTGGGAGCACTGTGCCAGGCAGACAAGGGAAGGGAGCCAGACAGACACTGCGTGCCACAGAAGCAGCGCAGGGACGAGGGTCCAGGGTCCCGGCAAGGGAGGGGCCCGCCCTGGGGCAGTGCAGCCCTGGAGAGCCCTGGGAATGTTGGGAAAGGAACCAAGCAGGGTCGCAGATAACGGGCGTCAAAGGGAGACAGTGCGCTGAGCCATCGAGGTGTTAGATGCAGAAACGGGGCTTTCCCGTCATTTTAGGGCATAGGATGGTGGCAGGTGAAGTGACAGGAGAGGCCGTGCAGGGGGCATGTGCTGCCGGCCCGTCCTGTCCCAGGGCTGTCCCAGGCGCACACAGGGGTGTGGCTGGTGCACGCTTGGGGGCAGTGGGTGGGCCCTGCGTGGGACCCGCCCAACCGCGGTGGTGGTCTCTTCCCCTGGGTACTTTGTCCTTTGCGGCCCCCACCTCTCCTCGACAAGATGGGCCTGGGATCCAGGATCCCTGCGAGAGAGACCAGAGGGACGCCCTCGGGCCCATGACCTGCCAGCAGCGTGAGGACCTCACGGCCAGTGCGCAGGTAGGACAGCCGGCCCGTGTGGTGCGTGTGGCTCCCAAGTCCAGGCCAGCTCGGACGGGACGGGCGTGGCACCCGGGTCCCCGCCCAGGTTGCGGCTACGCATGGACCCGGAAACGATGTGGGGTTCCCCCTCCCCCTCTCCTTCCCTTTGTAGAAACAGGTGGCCTGTGGGAGGGTGGCCTGTGGGTGACGGGGGCAGGGCCAGCCTGGCTCAGGGCCGAAGCTGCCATGACAGTGAGGCAGGTGCACACCTGGGGCTTTGCTGGCTGGGACTTTCCTGGGTGTTCCGTGGCCCCACGTCTCAGGGTGTGACGACACCCAGCCATGGCCTCCAGCTTGGCCCGCACAGCCCCCCGCTGTGGCTTCCCTTTTGTTAGCAAGTTTATTTGTAAGAAAGCCTCCCCGTGGTGCAAAACCCACACGGACCCTGGCGCTTACGAACTGCCCTTAACGGGAAGAGTCAAGTTGCTCACGGTCACGGCCGAGTGGCGATGCAGGACTTGGAGTCCCAGTAGAGAGCCCAGAAAGGGGCTGATGCTCCGAGGGCTTCCTGGGAACGTCCTGCCATCGGCTGGCCCCAGCGCAGTGCGCTTCCCCAAGCCCGAGCGTGCCCCGAGCTCTGTGGTTGCTGGAAGGGTGTCGTCGAGGACACCCGGTGAGCTCGTGTCCGCGCTGGGCCGTGGGTGCAGGGCCCGCGGCGAGCAGTGGGAGGGTCCTGACTGGCCGTCTGCCCCCAGCACGCCCTGCGCTTGTTGGCGTTCCGGCAGATCCACAAGATCCTGGGCATGGACCCTCTGCCGCCCCCCAAAAGCAGGCCGGGGGCGCGCTTCCGGAAGAGGCTGCGGGAGGCAGGAACTGAGGCCCAGAAGGGTGAGGTCCCCGGGAAGCAGGGCCGGCAGGGTGGAGAGGGGCCCCCGTGAGCAGCGTCCCCCGCTGGGTACGCCCGGACGCGTCCTCACCGCAGCCGCTTCATCCCGACGCTGGACGGCCGTGTTCTCCTTTCCGGAGCGATCTGTGGGTTTCTTTAAAAACACTTTGCTTAAATCCTCCTGGAAATCACCTTATCCCGGGGTGAGGGCCCCCTGGGGCAGCAGCCGGCACCCGAAGGCCCGCCCCGCGGAGGGCTGGCAGGTGCAGCACAGCGAAACCCTGCCGGCTTTGGGCTCACCCTGTGGCCCGCCAAGTGTGTGGCCTTCCGGAGCGCTCCCCGTGGATGCCCCAGCCCTGCGTGGACTTGAAACCACATCACAGGGACAGGCCAGGGAGAGCCGGCGGGTGGGGCCGAGCCTGAGGACGCACCCAGGCCGGGATCCCCCGTCCCTGGGCCCAGCCTGCCTCAAACACATCCCCCCCCACCTCCAGACCCCAACCTGGAGACGCCCCACCCCAGAGGTCTGCAGGGCCGGAGCTGGCATCTTCCCGGCCAGCATCCACCCTCAGGGAGGTGGGAGGGCCCAGGGGCGGTGAGGATGCAGGCTGGGTGCACCCCTGGCCCCCCAGAAACGTCTGTGACCCACAGTCTGCCCTGACCCCGTACCACCGAGTGCCTTCTGCTTAGAGCGGGAGCTGCTTGGTCACTCCTCACGCACCCCCCCGCCCCCGCCGGGTGCAGCAGGTCTGGGTCCGGGCCTGGGCCAGGAGCCCGGGTGGACGAGGGGCAGCCCTGCCCAGTCCTCCCTCTGTGCTCGAGCCTCCCTGCCCAGTCGCCCCACGGCACTGAAGGGGAAAAGTCTGTCCTTGGGCCGAGGCCGTCTGTGGTCAGTTGAATCCTTAAATTCCGCTTCTGTATTTAGGGGGCAGTCTGAGTGTGCCTTTGTGTCTGATGTCTCCGTAGAGCCACCTGAAAGTTTGCGAGGGTGGGGAATAAATAAGTAATGTCTCACGGTGTGGACTGTGCGGTCCTTGCTTGGGGTCCGGAGCCCCCGCTGCGCCCTCCCGCCGCTCCCTCAGGGCTCCGAGCGGGGTTGCCCGGCCGGCCGGCATTTCTCTCTGACACTCAGGCCGTAGTGTGAGCAGCGTGCTGCCCGGAGGCTGTGCCCCCGTGTGTTGGTCCCCCGGGCCATTCCCACCCCAGGGTGCCCTGGGGACCCTCCCCGAGGAGCACTCATTTTGAACAGGCCCCATGACCACCCTGTCTTGGCCTGGTCCAAGAAATGATCATCAACGGGAAGGCCCAGAGGGCTTCCTAGAGAAGGAGGTGGCCAAGCTGAGTTGGTGGGGGGCTCTCTGCCTGTAGGTCCCCTACCAGGAGTTCCCCAGTTTTCCCAAACCCTCGTTGCAAACCTCAGGGGGCAGAGGGGGGTTCAGACGGGGAGACTGGGTCACCGCTGAGCTGCTGACAGCTTCAAGCCCCCAGGGCGTCCCCAGGCAACGGTCAGGCTCCGGGGAGGGGAGCGGGGGGAGCGGGGGCCTCCGGTGGGGGTGCGTGTGTCAGAGCACGGGCTGGGCGCACACAGACCCCCTTCTCAGCCCCCTGAGGCAGGCGAAGCCCTGCTTGGTTCTCACGGGCACGTTATCAACTGGAAACAGGAAGCAGCCGGCCAGTGCCTAAGCACTACCACCCCCTCCCCCCCGGGAGGGCAGGCCCCTCTCCTCTGCCTCTGGGGCCCTGGGCCCCCTTCCTTGTTGGCAGCCCAACAATCCCTAGGAGTCAGAGCCAGCCCCTCAGCTGCTCCTGGCCGCGGCCACGGATGGGGCACAAGGGATGGGTCTGAGGGAGGGTCCCGACATCCTCCGCCTCCTCCGGCGGTGGCTCTGCCCTTCGCCCAGCTCTCCAGGCTCACCACCACCACCACCACCACCACCACCGGGGAGTCCTCCTGGGTTCCCGTGTGCTCGAGCCCGAGCCGTCACCGTCGGCACTGTCTCTGCTTGCCCCTCGCAGTGGTACTCTGCTGCTTCAGTCCTCCAGCAGTGGGAGCTCGTGGTAAAATTCAGGCGACTCCAAATCCCAATGAGGCCCCCCCAAAAGCCCATCTGCCACCCTCTCCTTCCGTAACGCCCCTTCAGAGCCACCAGTCTCTTGCTGTCCTCAGACCAACCAAACCTGTTCTTACCCCAGGGCCTTTGCACATGCTACTTCCACTACCTAGTAAGCTCTTCTCTGACCTGTATGGCCGGCAACTCCTCCCTTCCCTCGGTTCTCCTCCCAGATGTCCCCTCCTCCAAGAAGACTCCCTGACCACCTCTCCCTGTCACATAACTATATTCATTTTCTTTATACCACACGTCACTGATTAAAATCACCTGCCACCCGCCTTCCCCCAGCGACATGAATTCTCTGTGGGCAGGAAGCGTACCCACTCCACCCACCGTGGGTATCCCCCGGGCCAGAACAGACCAAGTGCATGGTGGTAGCTCAGTAAATGTGTCCCATGCTTGAAACTGTGCTCCGGCACCCCAAGGGGAGTCTCCCTGTGACAGGAACGTGCCTCCTGGCAGTGAAGACACAGTCCGCGTCCACCTCATCCCAGGAGACCGTTGTCACGGTTTGGCCGAGAGGCTTCCGCTAAGGCAGGGGCAAGAGGACAGAAGGAAGGTGCCTTCGCCCCTGCAGCGGAGAATTGCCAGATGCGGTCGTCACAGCTTCGCGGGGAGCCCCGTGTCCTGCCGCCGTGACCTGCACGCAAGGGCTCGCGGACCGGCTTCCTCCCTCAGATCCTGGCAGGGGGGCAGCTCGGGGACACCTCATCACCCAGTGTTCGCTGGCCCACCCCCGGCTCCTGGGGAAGGGGGACAGTATCCTCAGCACCAGGTGGCCTAAAGCCAATCCTGCTGACAGGGAGTTAAATCTTTCCCCCTAGCAACTCCCGAAAAAAATCAAGCAGTTGGTTAGCGAAGCACCGGGTCCAGATGGACGAAGCGTCTGGGCGACTGAGCTTGCCGCCGGCCCGCAGAGCGTCTCTTCTGGTCTCTCCCCTGCAGCCCTCTTCCCACCGGCAGGGGACCCCGGAGCCAGCCCCGTGGCAGGCGGGGAGGCTGGAGAGCAGGCCCCGGAGCGGCATCCCTGGACCTCAGGCTGCGGGATGCTGGCGGGCGAGCCCGGTTGCTAGGAGACAGCGGTGAGTGTGGGAGGGATGACGCGGGCAGTGTGGGCAGGGCTGGAGCCGCACCTGGCAGGCGGTCCGGGGAGGACAAAAATGGAAGCCGGCTCCATCCAGAGCCGCCGGCAACGCTGACACCCGTGAGAACC